TGTGTCCGTTTCCTACTGTGTCCGATCGACACTGTGTCCGATCCGCACTGTGTCCAATCCGCACTGTGTCCGATTGCAACCACCGTGTGTCCGTTTCCTACTGTGTCCAATCGACACTGTGTCCGATTCATTCAACCTGCTGTGTCCAATTTATTCTGTGCGCAACTGGGACTCACTCGTGGCCAGCCACCCCGCGGGCCGATATTTCGTGGAGGTAAATTGCTGAGGCCGGGTTTTCCCCGGTACCTGGGGCTCCGAGATCGGTGGCTTTCGTCCATCGCTGCTTCACGCGCCGCACGCCTGCCGCGTTGCTCTTGCCGCCCGGGATCCCAATGGTTTCCGCTTTCGCCCTCGCCACCCCTCCTCGGTCCTTGGTCCTCCCGGACCCTTCCGCTACGTGTCGTCTCTCGAAGATTCGTCGTGGTGGGGTGAGGCGCCGCGCGTATTACAATTGCATAAAAATAAAACAAATAATCAAAACGCGGAAATGATATAAATTTTTGGCCTCTGGAGATCTCGTCGTCGCCTCTCTGGCTCGTTCCTGGGCGCGAATTTACGCGCCTTGTGACGGCAGCGGGGCGCTGCCACGAAGCGGCGGGCCGCAACGTCACAATATATATATATATATATATATATATATATATATATATATATATAAGAATAAAAAAATATATAATTAATATCAATATATCGTTAAATTGTGATAGGTCTTGCTCGATTTTTGCCACCAATTTGTCGTTAGGCAGCACTGTACAGACCTTGCTCGATTTTTGCACCAATTTATTATTAGACAGCGCTGCGCAGACCTTGTGCGTATTTTGTCGCTAATGTGTCATCAGATAGCGCTGCACAGATCTTGCTCGGTTTTTGTCGCCAATTTATCGTCAGAATGCTCGACGCAAATTTTGCTCGGTTTTTGCTGCCAATTTGCTGTCTGGTTACATGGCCACATTTGCCCGTATTTTGTTGGCAATTTGCTATCTAATTATGTCAGCAGATTTTGTTACATATTTGCTAGCATTTTGTCGACATTATTTGTTAAATCAAATTCTGTATTAAATTTGTATCCTTCTTGTCAACAACATTTGTAGCAAGATTTTACAAAATCTGTTTTCGACAGACTTGGCTATCTGGGTAAGTTTGGCGCTCAACCGCGATAAGTGAGCCCATGGCAAGTAAAATATACATATAAGCGTAACGAAAATCGCGAAAGTATCGCGACAATCAGCAAAAGTGTCCGCAACGCAACGGCGGGGCAAGGCGCGGGGACAGCGTGGCAACGGCCACATCGAATCGCAAGTAGTGCCGGCATCAAGAATACATCAAACGGTGAACGGTCAATGGATCATTTCGCGTATTTAATAATGCATTAGATACAATCAAAGGACGGTGAAACGCGTCATTCGCGAGTCACGCTCACTCACGCCTGTGAGAGACGGTGAATGTGCATGAAGAGAGAGGAGCAATCGCGGCGACGCGACGCTCTCTCACAACCATAGACAAGAGTTCGCGACGGTCGCGGGAAGTAGCCGCTCGAAACGCGAGAGGGCACGCCAGCACATCTCGTAGAGACATCGATACATCGATACAGCGATCGAGACAGTAAATCGTGAAGCACGTCAGTGCACGAGACAGAACGTCAGTTCATTCGCAACACACAAAGAGCATTCGCAACACACGAAGAGCACGCATCAAGTCACACATCTGTAAATGCAACGAGTAACGGCAAGCACTGTCATCGCAAAATTACGAGTCATCAAACAACAATCACATCGATCAAAATCGACACAAAGTTACGTATAACCTGCAAATTGACAATTTAAGTAAATTGCCTCAACGTGGGGCTACAGATTACAGCTGCGCAAACAGCGGTCACAGCAATTAAGAACAGATTAGTAAGTTTCCTGCAATTATTGCCTACACCTGATTAACATTTTAGATACAATGGCGGAGCTAAAAAAATTGTGTCAGAAGCGAACGACAATTAAGGGTCAAATGACCAGAATTAATAACACGATAAGCGAAGTAACCTCAGCGTCGGAAGCCAAGATCAAAGCAAAAAAGATCGAGGAGCTATGGAAGATGTTTGAAGAGGTGCAAACAAATATAAGACGCACTAAAATTAGATGAAGCGCAGGCCGATGGAGAGGAAGAAGTCAACGTTGAGCTTCAACAAGAATCAGAAAGGGAACGAGAAGTCTTCGAAAACGTGTATTTCGAAGCAGCGACGAAATCGCAGACAATCATCGATATGGAGAAGGCACAAAAACAGGCTGTGGCACAAGTGCAGATAGCAGCGGCGCAGGGTGGTGAGCAGCCCAGAGATAGAGGACGATTCGATGTAAAACTTCCGACTTTAAATTTGCCGGAGTTTAAAGGAGACTACAACGAGTGGCTTCTTTTCAAGGACGCGTATGTATCAATGATTCACGCAAATGCTAATATAACGGCAATACAGAAGTTTCAATATCTGCGAAATTCGCTTAAAGGAGAAGCTTTGCAGGTAATCAGTGGATTGAAAACTTCAGCAGAAAATTACGAGAGCGCTTGGGAGCTATTAGAAAGGAATTACGAAAACACCAAGTTGCTCATAAATACTCATCTCAACAGTTTGCTTGAATTTCCAGCTGTGGCGAAGGATAAGCCTGCGACAATTAGACAGCTCATCGTACACATACGTACGCATCTCAAAGCATTGAAAACGTTGAAGATTTCCGTGGAGCATTGGGATGAGCTTTTAATACACATGACGAAAGGCAAATTAAACTACGCAACTCAAAAGGATTGGGAAGAAGAATGCAATCGTGACAGGCAGAGACGAAAAACGTTGGAAGAATATTTAACGTTTTTAAACGAACATTGTTGCACCTTGGAAATGATCAACAAAGGAAAGGCTAAGAGCGAAGCGGTCAAGCCTTTGGTATTAAAGAAACAAGGAAATTCGGTATCCTTCTCGGCATCTGTTTTTCAGCAGAGCTGTCTGAGTTGCAGCGAAAATCATGCGGTTTACAAATGTCCACAGTTTCTACAGATGTCAGTCTCCAGCCGAATAGAAGAATCAAGATCGAAGAAGGCCTGCCTAAATTGTTTAGAAAAGGGTCACTTTGCTGTAAATTGCAAGGCAATTGCAAGGCATCCACTTGCAAAAAATGTGGAAAAAAGCACAACACGCTTTTGCATCTTGAGCAGGAAGACAAACCGGCGGAACAGAAGTCCAGCGAGGAGTCATCTAAGAAAGCGGTCGTTGCACACTGCGTAAAGTCAGAAGAACGCGCCAACGAAATGACGGAGGCATCAGTGGTCAACTTCATGCGAAAGCAAAATACGCAAATCGTGTTGTCAACAGTTCGAGTAAACATTGAAGACGCAAATGGAAAACAACACAGTTGTCATGTTCTCTTGGATCCCGGATCTCAGTCAAATCTTATCACAGAGGAACTCGTAAGTAAGCTCAAGCTGAAGTGCAGAAAACGAAATGAGCTTATCAGCGGCGTGAATCAAATTCAAACAACGGTCGGACGAACAGTTACGGTCAAAATCAAATCTATGCATACAGATTACGGAAGGATGATCGAATGCCTAGTATTGCCACATATAACGGAGAAGTTACCGCAAGTAAGAATAAATACGAAATTCATAGTCCTGCCGGAAGAAGTGAAACTCGCGGATCCCAGCTTCCATGAACCAGGGACGATAGATTTTCTTATCGGAGCCGGAGTGTTCTGGGAACTTTTGTGCGCGGATTCTATGAAGCAGGCGAAAGGACTGCCAAAATTGCAAAGCACTCTTCTGGGTTGGATCGTCGGAGGAGAGTTGATTGATACGGCTGAGAGAAGCTCTCCGCGATTCTGCGGACTAGTAACGAACAAAACATTGCAGATGCAGCTAGAATGTTTCTGGACTCAGGAGGAGATTCGTGAGACGCGTCATTGGACAAAGGAAGAAGCAGAGTGTGAGCGGCATTTCTGCGAGACATTCAAACGAGACACCGACGGAAGATTCATCGTAGCATTACCACATAAGCAGGAAGTGATACTGGGAGAATCGGAGACTCAAGCGAAGAGAAGATTTTTTGCACTTGAAAGACGTCTCAAAGTCAATCCGGAGATCAAATCACAATATGTCGAATTCATGAAGGATTACGAGCAGCAAGGACACATGTCACTTGTACCAAGTGACGCTCAATCAAAACCGAAAGAAACATACGTGTTGCCGCATCATCCGGTGATTCGTCCTGAAAGCATCACAACAAAGTTACGTGTCGTGTTCGACGCATCAGCGGAGACGTCACTCGGCACATCGCTAAACGATCGACTAATGGTTGGTTCTAATCTACAGGAGGACCTTTTTAGTATCCTCATGCGATTCAGGACACATGAGTTTGCCATGACTGCTGATATAGCAGCCATGTATCACCAGATCCTAGTACAAGAGGAAGACAGTGATTTTCAAAGAATATTCTGAAGATACGATATGACGCAGCCGATTCAATTATACCGACTCAACACGGTGACGTACGGGACGGCATCAGCCCCGCACTTGGCTGTTAGGAGTGTGCAGCAACTATCCGCAGAGGAGAAGCAATTTCCCCGGGCAGCAAAGGTGCTCAAGGAAGACTCTTATGTGGATGACGTGATAACGGGTGAGGATACCATCGAGGAAGCGATCGCATTACAACAGCAACTGACGCTAATTCTCCAGCGAGGTCAGTTTCAGTTAAGAAAATAGCGCTCGAACGACAAAAGAATCTTGGAAAGCGTGTCACAAAGCAGCAAAGTGGACAATCTTTTGATTATCGATAAAGAAGGAGCGCTAAAAACATTAGGCCTTCAGTGGGATGCTGGAGCAGACACTGTATGCGCATACAATATGAGCATACAATACAGCGTAACCATCGAAGAATCGCCCAAAAGGACGAAAAGAATCGTGCTATCAACCATAGCTCAGATTTTTGACCCTTTAGGTCTCTTGGTATCAGTACTCATCAACGCAAAGTGCCTTATGCAGCAAATGTGGCAGTCGCAGACAGGATGGGACGAAAATCTACCCTCAGAGCTGCAAACTCTTTGGGATCAATACTATTGCCAATACTATTGCCAATACTATTGCCAATACTATTGCCAATACAAATCCTTGGCAAAAATCAACGACATGCGCATACCAAGGAACATCAATCCAAAAAACGCTGAGAAGAAATTCGATCTCGTCGGATTTGGTGATGCTTCAGAAAAAGCGGAGCATGCCTTTACGCAGTATCCAAGAATTCTAAGGGAAAGACTAACTCGCATTTAATAAGTGCCAAGAGTAGGGTAGCTCCGCTCAAAACCATTTCGCTATCGAGGCTCGAACTCAACGCAGCACTTTTACTCTCTAAGTTGTGCGATACAGCTGGAGAAGCATTCTGCGATAAAATCCGGAGCATATTCCTCTTAAGTGACTCACAGATTGTACTGAGTTGGATAGCATCGCCGCCAAATATCCACAAGACGTACGTTGCAAATAGGATAACGAAGATACAAGAATTAACTCAAAACGCAGTCTGGCTGCATGTACCATCAAGAGATAATCCTGCGGATTTGATATCAAGAGGCATGTCAGTTGAGGAATGGATGCATAGCAAACTGTGATGGCACGGACCTATATGGCTTATTACAGGAGAATAGCCTGAACGCAAGACAGTGGACTTGGACACGTCAGAAATGAAAGTGTCAACTGTTTCTGCATTGATGCGAACAACATGCGATGCCACAAAGGATTTCTCTTCCTTCAATAAAATGCTGCGGGTAATTGCTTATTGCCTGAGGTTCAAAGCAAATGCCTCAGGAATGAAACGAAATGATGCATTATCAGTGCAAGAGATCAAACAAGCGGAGACAGCAATCACGAAAACGATTCAAAGAGAATCGTTTCCCAAAGAACTTCGCGCATTGGAGCAAGGGCAACAAGTAACTAAAGGAAGCAAACTCGCATCACTTTATCCGTTCCTGGATAAAAATGGACTCATAAAGGTGGGTGGTAGATTGTCACATGCAGACATTTTGGAAACACAAAAGCATCCGGTTGTTCTGCCTAACAAACACCACGTGACGACATTTCTGTTAAAAGACGAACATCAACGTTTGCTTCATTGTGGACCAGAGCAATTACTACATTCAATTAGACAGCGATATTGAATCCTCAGTGGACGTCGAGAGGCACGAAAGGTAACAAGAGGTTGTTTGAAGTGTTATCGGCGTCATCCAAAATCACCTGAGGGTGATGGGTGATCTATCAAAGGAACGAGTACGCGGATCCGTAAAGCCCTTTACAAATGTTGGAGTCGACTACGCTGGACCGCTCCAGGTGCGAGAGAGCCGCAGGCGTGGAAGAGTACATACTTCGAAGGCGTGGATTGCAGTCTTCACCTGCTTTGCTACCAAGGCCACGCATTTAGAGCTCGTCACGGAGCTTTCAACTCAAGCATTTTTAGCAGCGCTGCGGCGATTTGTGGCAAGAAGAGGCATCTGCTCACAAATTGTGTCCGACAATAGGACCAATTTCATTGGTGCAGCACGGGAATTGAGGGAGGTCTACGAGTTCCTGGAACGAGAACAACGAACGATATCCGATCACTTGACTCAACAAAGAATTCAGTGGAAATTTATTCTACCCAGAGCACCACATATGGGCGGACTTTGGGAGGCGCCATTGAAGGCTGCTAAACGTCATCTTAATACAGTTACCAAAGGCCTCGTATCAACCTTTGAAGAGTATTATACACTCCTAACCAAAATAGAATCAATTCTTAACTCCCGTTCTTTAACTCCGTTATCAAACGATCCTAACGATACAACAGTTTTAACCCCCGCTCATTTCCTAATAGGGGAATCATTGTTATTGCCAGCCGAACATGATTATTTTGAGATTCCAGATTCCAGACTTTCGCGATGGCAACACCTCCAGAAGGTACGACAGCATTTCTGGAAACGCTGGTATAACGAATATTTACAGGAGTTGCAAAAACGTCAAAAATGGTACACCAAGGGCGACAATTTGGAGGTTGGTACATTGGTGCTGCTCAAAGAAGACAACGTGCCGCCACTTCAGTGGGTTCTTGGACGCGTGGTAGAAGTTATTCCAGGAACTGACAACATTGTGAGAGTGGCTATCGTCCGCACTGCAGGTAGACTGTTTAAGAGAGCTGTAACGAAGCTCTGTCCGCTGCCCAAAGAAGATGCAGATTAGAATAAATAGACAATATTTGCGCATTTCTCTAAATTCAAATTTAACGAGTTAATTTAGCCTTGATCAAACTTACTAAAAACTTATTGAATTTCTTAACGTTATAGTATTTCTGTTCTTTGTATAAAAGGCTAGTCATTAAATTACTTAGTTTTCATTTATGCTTTATAGGAAAAACTAGTTATATAAGTATTATTATTTAATGTCATGTGTCATTTAATTACCAAAGGAGTAAGTTTGCTAACATTAAATTTATTGAAAGAAAGTCTTTCAAGAGAGGCGGGATGTTTCCGATTATAGCGCTCTCTATCTATAGTATGTGTGTAAGCAATATGGCGAAAGAGAATAAACGTTTGCAACAAGACTCGTGCATAAGTTTACTCAAAAACCCGGTTTATGTTCCCAAACATGCACAATAATTGCACCTATCGATTTCAATGTCGCTTCTCTGTTATCTAGAACTTTATCGACCCTGAGCAACTACTCTGTGGTATAGCAAAACAAGCGCCCGCGAAAAACGATTGTATTAAAACCGTATTAAAAGCTTATATGAATTTATTAAGAATCTTATTAGAATCGAATATGCAAATCAATTATAATTTAAATATGTCATATTTAAATCAAATTAAAGTACCCCATCTTATTTAATCTATATATGGATTAAACTGGACCTTGCTTTGTTAAAGTATGCAAAATCAGCCGCACAGACCTAAGAAAATGCAAAGTTAATATGGTTTTAATTTGCCAAATGTGGATTAAATATGGTAATAAATTCAAAATTAATTTGTTAAATATAATCATATAAGTCAAATATAATCATATATAAGTCAAATATAATCATATAAGTCAAATATAATCATATAAGTCAAATTTGTCATATAAGTCAAATTTGTCATATATAAATGTTATTTGATCTTATTAGAATTTTATATAATTTTGTTTTAAATTTAAATTTATACCAATTTATAAATTTAAACAAGATTATATAAAATTTTATTTTTTAAGCGTGCTACTTTATTATAAGAGTGGACTTCACGATATAACTGATACAAAAATTGTGTCGTTCCGAGACAGTGTCGTGTCTTCTTGATACCGTTATCTTATAACACTCTTTGTCAAATTTTAATTACGAGAAACAGATCACATCGAATGCCATCTATCGGATACTTTGAGATGCAATATTCTGATCTGATCATATATAATCTTATATGACTATATTATTTTTTTTTAATTTAAATCAAATATTTTACATGTTAAGTTCGACAAATAAAGAAACAAATTTTACCGCAAATATTATTTAAACATTATTTAAACAAAAATACGTTTTAATAAGAATCAAATTAAAACCAAAGGGCCTAGCGGAGTAAGCATGTGAAATCGGCCCTTGATCATA